CGGCATGCTCTCTAAGTTTCCCAGAACCACATTCGAACCGAGGTCAGCCATGTGGGATGGGCGCCCTCGACCACCAGCCACTGGGTCAGCCCAGGCGTGGTGGTTTTACCTGAAGCCACGGGAGGGTAGTCAACCTCAGGCCCTGTTTCAGGCTCCCACGGAGTGAGGGTGCACATGGTTTACGGTTAGTGTCGTCACAACCAGAGCCAGAGCCTTCGAGGTTCGCTCAGACCCCTGAGACGTGGCGTTCCCAGGTGCTCTGTGAGTGCTGGGCTCCTGCAACGGGGAACCCCATGAGGAGAAGCTCTGGGGGGCCTCTGCTGAACTGGGGGCACCCGCAGACCTGGGGGTTCTGCAGCTCTGTATCTCTGGGACCTCGCTGCGGCAGTGCAGGTCAGGAGCCCGGGGCGTCTGTGTTCTTCGTTTTTGATACCCAGTGTCGGGAAGATGGTTTTATGTATTTTAAGTTCTATGTATTTTTTTAAAGAATTATTTATTTAATTTTATTATTATTCTTGATTTGACCAGAGAGGGATGGAGAGGGAAAATGAGAACACGAGCCGCCACATCCGGGACTCAAACTGTGGTTGCAGTCTAGCGCCTTCGCCGCCTCAGCTCCTGCTGGCCCCGGCTCCGCAGTTCCATGCCCTCTTTTCCCTTTTCCTTTTCTTCTCTTTCTCTTTCTTCTTCCTTCCTTCCTTTCTCTTTGTGGCTTCTCTGGGAGGATAAATCAGTCCTGTCTGGGTGTGATGAGACCCCGCCGTCCCTACTTGGCCTTGATCAGAGGGACACCTTCGCGGGTACTGTTTTGCGAGAGGAGGAGAGATGCCTCCGAGAGTGAAGCGTGAACCAGCGGCAGACGGGGTGTGGGCGAGGCGGCCCTCTGGGTGGGAGGCAGTCTGCCCTGCCCTGGCTGGCACCCTGGCTGCTGACCCTGTCTGTAACCCCGGTTCTGGGGCTCGCTGGGGCCGCGCCTGACCCGACTCTGACCTTTTCCTTTTCTTCTCCGGGGCAGACGCAGCCCCTACAGCTCGGGCGCGCCCCTGCCATCCCCGGGGCCTCTGGATCCTGAGCCCTCGAAGGCCTCCCAGGGCGAGGCCGACACCAGCACACGAAGGCGCCTCTGTTCATGGCGGCCACATCCCGACGGACCGAGTGAGCGGGAAGGCTGTGAGTCGCAAACACATGAACACGCCTGTCTCTCTGGGCATCACGGTTCAGCCAGAGCACTCCCACGGTGCACAGACGTTGCGAAGCCTGGGTAAGGGTGTGCCGAAAGCTTTACTGGACACTCACCGAAACTGAAAAACGATGCCACACTGATTATTTTAATTCCAAGTCACTGTGTTTGTTTGTTTGTTTTATTTTGCTATAGGGTGAGTGCACTTGCCAGAGACAGAAAGAGAGCAAGAGAGACGGGGAGAGAGAGAGAGGACCGGCGAAGCTACGCCCAATCCTCTCCTGTCCAGTCTCTTCTTGGCATTTTGGGCACACATACACATGCACCTGGCATGACTTTAAGCTGCCAGACCCAGGACTCAAGCTATGCAGCCAGCACCCACCCCCATACCACCTGCCGGGCGGCTATTGTCAGTTTTACAAAAACAAGACAACAGGCAGCCGGGCCACCCCAGGGCTGAGCTGCGGTGAGTCCCTGGTCTGCAGCTCAGGCCAGCACAGCCCTGGGCCGCAGCGTGTGCCCGGCCGGCAGTGGATGGCAGGGAGCCAGCAGGGCCTGGGCCGCAGCGTGTGCCCGGCCGGCAGCGGGCTGAGCTGACTGTGAGTTCAGGCCGTGAGCACAGGCAGCAGTCGACACCCTCTGCCGGATGACCGGGTAGGTTAGGTGCCTGGTGTGACGGTGCCTCCACTTGTCCTTGCAGTGCCACGTCTCACTGATGAGGTGTCAGGCCATTCCTGGGGTCCTCAGTGACCAGGAGCTGCTGCCACTGGGCCTGGGCCTGTCGTCCCAGGAATTGGGCCTGGACAGGGCCCAGAAGGGGCAGCTATGTTGGCTGGGGGTGCGGAGGTGGTGGCAGAGCACGGGGCACAGTACAAGGCTGCTCTCCCTGGCCCTGCAGGTGGCCTCACGAGGTGCACGACTATAGTCTTGGCCTGAGCGGCTGCTGTCCAGGACATATGCTGGCCGGGGCTGGTCAGGGAAGCTGGTGTGAGCGCGCACGGAGGCTGCCTCCAGCAAGTGCAAAGAGGAATAAGGTGAGCACACACCAAAGTGCACTTGTGGGCTGTGGGAGTGAGGATGGACGGGCTGGGGGTGAGAGGATGGACGGGGCTGGGGGAGTGAGGACGGAGGGGCTGG